GTTAATGAATTTTATAAAATTATTTTACCTGTGGCAGATTATCTTAGAGAAATTCAAAATTGGATACCGGTAGGAATAGATAGCCCTCTTTTATAGCCCTTTTGCAGGTCATTTATAAATTAATCGAGAATATCTAACACCCTACGTTTGTGAAAACTGAAGGGTTTCTTGAACTCGCTTTCCATGTAAAATTCTACAGGATTTTTATCATGCAGTGGCGGCTCGTGCTTAGGTGGTACGACCCCCTGATATAGTAATCGAAAAAGATCTCTAATATCTTAGAAATATATATTTTCCTTTTAATGACTTTCAATATTCAAGATATTGCACCACGCTCTTGGCATTTGGCTGTTTTACTGGCTTTACTGCAGTTGCTCTTTGGCCCTTCGATTTAATACGGGGAACATAGGACCTTTTGGTTGGGCAACCAAACGGGTGGAACTGTCTTGCGCTGCGCGGCGATGAAGTTCAGTCAATTATTTAGGACATTTAATGCATTATTTATGATGTTTAGAGAATTTGTTTTCATTTGCTATTAGATTTGTAAATATAAAATGTACACTTGATTAAGTTTTTGTGAAAAGTTGTCCGTTCTGGAAGTCCCTTTCTCGGTAGATGCAGCGCGAGATGTTGACAATTGCCGGCCGAATTACTTCATTTGACGCCTTGTTTTCTTAACAGAGCGTTTGATGTTCTTTGAAGGCGTTTCAGAGGAAAGGATTATACATTTTAAACTTGGCGCCTTCCCAAAAAGCCGCGCGAATTTCTCCTCTGTTGATCAAACATTCATTTCTTTGTACAAAGTTCCTTGAAGTCGATTGTCAACTTCTTTCTATTAGTTCGGAGCGTCACCGAAAATTCGCGCCAGCTCCTGGGCAACTCCCGCGTAAAATTGGCATTGTCGAAATGCTAGGAATTTTCGATCGCAGACGCCTGCTCGCATTGTCACCACAAGCTAATGTGGAAAGCTGAGTGAAAGCATCTTGAACGTCTTCAAGGTTCGATTCAGTGCCAGGCACTGGATGTAGTAGAAACACGATGCAAAAGTCCTTGGAATTCGTAAGGAAAGGTTTAATTTCGTTTGGACAGAGAACACTCTTGTCTGACAAAATCTACTGAGATAGAAGAGGCGATGTTCCTTTGCAGTTTCTATTAAAATGCTCTCCCAACTTTTCTTCGACTATTTCGCCGCCTGAACACGAGAGGAGGATAATATACCTGACTCGGACACGACGCATTCAATTATGCAAGTGGTGTTTCAATATAGACTTTTATTTAACTTAGTTTTAATTAATTTGAATTGCTTATATTTTTATTACATATCCACATTTTGAATTTTGGAAATTACTTTTCCGTCATTCGATGGAGGTGCAACATCCAGATTGTTGGGGCACCAGCCACCACTCGTATCACGCATATTAAGATTAGGCACAGCGAACTGAAGCACTTCCTCGATATCTTCAATATCCTCTACAAAATGAATTGATACATCCATAATATCAACCATTCTGGGAATCTTCTAATCTCACAGTTTACTTTCCGAAGTCTAAGTACAGAAAATCGTTGTCTTGGAAATGGAAAGAGGGTGCGTAAAATGAACATGACTTAAAACGAAGCTTACGTAAGTTTACTTTGAGCGTGGAAGTTGACTTTCGAACTCCTTCTTTCATTGCTTCCTTCCACAATCTACAAAATAAATTTAGAATTCCCTTTTGAAAAGAACTCCATTGTGATTAGTGACGAAAAATTGGAAAATAATAAATAAAAACGCGTAAAACTAAATTAATATATCTGACGGAATCACTAAACACAGGTTTATGGAAAATAGCAAACTAGCAATAGTAATATATACAGGGTAATTGTGAGAAAGTTGGCAATGGCTTTTGCCAACAAAACGAAACGAAACTACCCTAAATCGAGTATGTATACATGTTCTCCGGCAGTAACATTTTCCAAAAGTTGTCACTTTAGCTGGTCTTTTTAGCTTGCCAGCACTATACGTGTGATTTCGTGAGTGCAGCAGCTTATCCTGTTGGCTGCAGTGTAATTATTTATAAGAACTTAATAAATCCATTTGATTTAAATATGATCATGATTTTTACTTATTCCATTAGTAATTAAACTTTAACTATGGGGTTATTTCGCATCAAATCACGATAAATCAAGATATTGGATTTTTAACCTTTTTCTCTATTTTTTTGTAAATTGTAATAATACTAGCAAAGGGTAAGTTACATTATAAAATCCAGTTTTCTATTTCTGTCTAGAATGTTCAGAGAAATAGGGACATATGAATATGAGTTTTCCCCCAATTCGTATCAATATCTCAAAAAATACTCTTCCCAAAAATAATTGGAACAGATACCCCCAGCTTGAATGTGTAGTAGATTTCACATGGAATAAACCTGTAATACAATATACAATTCACTATGTTAGCATCAGAAGGGTCCATATACAGTAATTACAAGAAATTTCAAGAAAAAATGTTGACCTTTTTTTGAGAAAATTTTTAAAATGTCCCATGGGCTTCATGTAAAGTACCCCCAAATTTTAAAGAAAGTTTTTCAAAATCTCAAAGATTCGACTCGGGCCAGATGGACAGGGGTTTCTTCAATTGGGAAAAAAATCCTACGCACGGTTTAGTCGCTAGTGTTCATAGACGACATTTTGAAAAGAACCACTTTTTCCGCATCAAGGAACCCCAAAACGTGTATTTACGTCGAAACCTCCAAATCAATTTCCCGCAACATTAGAAAACATTCCCTATACTACGTTTTATATTACTCCGTATGTACGTACGTATACGGGAAAGTAATAATGGAGTGATAATACGTTCCACCCCTGAATTTTTTAAGAGACTTCTAACTTAAATTCTAGTTTAAATCTCTTCAGTCAGTTTCCTGGCTATTTTCTAACATATTCATGGGTAGGTAATGGTGGTTTTCTTGTCTGCGTTGTCACATATTTTTGGTTTCGTTGGTTTCTTAAGTTGTTATGAAGAATAACGTTCAGAATGCATTCTGCGTTGACTGCTAATCTATCTAGTTCTATCTGAAATCTTTACAGAATTAAACAGTTTGAATTCCAAAGTTCAATTCCAGGTCCCAATTTCAAAATACGAAAATGACGTACAGACACTTTGTTTATTAAAAACCTTAATATATTGTATATGTGAATAGATTTTCTTCAAATGATTTTCAATAAAGTTTCTGGAATTCTCAATAGTTTTCTGTTCCAACAGAGTTATGACAAATAATTGCCCCTCGAACCAGGCTCGAACCAGCTCTTCCCTCCGAAATACCGAGTCCGAACCCGACATTTAACTACTTCGGCCGTACAGAGAATTTTTACTTCGATAATAGACATAAGTGACGAAGACAAGAATTGATTTGAGGTTCCCACGTTTTATAAATACAATAAGAAATGTGAAAAATTATTTAGAAGATGAAAACTAAAAAATCTCTTCCAGTCCTCCTGCCCTCCGAAGAGCTGAGTCCGTAAACACAAATTAGCCACCTCGGCCACCCAGGTAGTATATGAGTTTTATGCTTATAAACTAGTAATAAGCGTATGGTGGTTTCAGTTCTAGCATTAGGAAGTCGAAAAATCAAGAAAATGTGAAAAATATCCTTTGGGCGACCAAAGAAGATATATGGGAAGAGAATGTCACATCTGAAATCTTAGTTCAGATTAAAGTGATTAGAAAACAAAAGACTGCGAGAAAGTCTTTGCCATTCTATAGCACCACTAGTTTATGTATTTATATAGCTAATTTTCTACAACAAACTTTTTCTGAGGCAAAATACTTCAATTTTGTAATTTTGAATAATTTTTGCAATTAAAAAAAGAGCAATATCCGAAAATGGGACTACCACCATATTTCTTACCGCCCTTTCTTACGTGTGGAGAAAATTTAAAGAAAAATTTGGAGCGGGTTTTGAGAAGTAAAAAATCGTAAATTTCAAGCACAAATTACGTAAAAACTAACTTTTACAAAAAAATGTACATGACCTTTCTTAAAGAACTAATTTTGTACAACAGACTTTGTCGGAGCCAAAAACCTACATTTTCAATTTTGCAGTTTTAAACCATTTTTGGGGCAATTTTTTAGAAATCGGAATGTCAAAAATGAGATCTAAATCACTCTTAAACGTCCTTCGCAACAAAATTGGAGCAGTTTTTCAGACAATTTTGACAATGTGTTTGAAGCTTCTTGTGAAGTACCCTCAAAAATAAAAGAAAATCAGTTTAAACTCCCAAGGCCACGAGTTTATTCAGATCGATTGAGGTATATCAATTTTGAAGAAAATTGGATGAACGGTTTAGGCGCTAGCGTTGAGCAAAGGCGGATGTTTTGCCTTCAAACGATTTTTCGGTATGAAGAATCAACCAAACATTGATTTTTAAATTTAACAAATATGATTTATCCACTTCTTCGTTACCAAAACCCGAAAATAAGTTTTTTTTTCTGGCGTAATTTTGGCATTTTCTAGCGCACGATTACTTAATTTTCTCTTCCTACAAAGAATTCGTAAGGCGAGAAAGTAATAAAATATTTAAAAATATGTATTCACTGTCAGTTAAAATTAAAATTACACATATGCAATTTCAATTTTCGCGGTAAAATTTACTCGTAAGAATCAACGATTTCTATTGGCTGTATACATTATCTAACAGAAAGAAAGATGATTACAAGAAAACAAGCAGGCTCTACGTACCGTTGATTCATTCATAGAAAACTGTTTAGAATAGATATAGATCGAAAAGAAACGTGAAAAGTTGAATTATATGACGTGATGATTCACCTGACGTAAAAACAAGAGGGGCCTGCAAGTCGGCAGTGCTGATAGTTTCCTTCGACAGAACCGGGGGTTAAAGGTTCGCTTGCTACACGCGTTCTAAACATCGCAGTGTTATATTCACCGCACGTGTTGTTACATATTATTTTTCGATTTTATGATAAAGAACAGTTTACGGAAAATATGTCAAATTTAAGGATAATGAACGTTCGGAAGCTGTTGTGCTTCACTTCTCTGAGCAGACGGTGTTATTCTGCGAATCATGTTTCTTCAGACTATCAAGATATAATGGTAAGTCATGGAAACGGAGATGATGAAGGTATTGTCACTATAGGTCTCAACAGACCAGCAGCAAAAAATGCAATTGGTAAAACCTTACTATCGGATCTGACTCGTGCATTGGAAGAGATAAGATTTAATCAAAGCGCTCGTGTCGTCATTATCAGAAGTCTCGTGCCGAAAATATTTTGTGCTGGAGCTGACCTTAAAGAAAGAGCGAAAATGGAAATTACAGAAGTAAATAAATTTGTGAGTCGTTTGCGAACTTTTGCAACAGCTTTGGAAAACCTCCCCATGCCCACAATTGCTGCCATTGATGGAGCTGCTTTAGGTGGTGGTCTTGAAATTGCTCTGGCCTGCGATTTACGTGTTGCTGCGTCCGATTGTCGCTTGGGGCTTGTGGAAACTAAACTGGCCATATTACCTGGAGCCGGTGGCACTCAACGTCTTCCTCGATTGGTCGGTCCGTCCATAGCGAAAGAGCTCATTTTCACAGCCCGAGTAATGAGCGGTCAGGAGGCCGAGGAAAAGTGGATTGTGAATCACTCGGTTTCTCAAAACGAAAATGGGGATGCCGCCTTTTTGAAGTCGTTAGAGTTGGCCAGGGAAATTACCCCTAACGGCCCAGTGGGGGTACGCATGGCTAAATTAGCTATAAACAAAGGCATCGAAGTGGACTTAAATACGGGCAATGTGATTGAAGAAGCGTGTTACGCGCAAGTTATACCTACCAAAGACAGATTAGAAGGATTAGCTGCATTCAGAGAGAAAAGAACCCCAAAGTATACTGGTGAATAATATATATAAATAGGGGTACCATATACATGCAAGACATTCCTTTGTATAAAATTGTGGTAAATAAAAATTGTCACTTGTGCGTTTTATTGGTCATGTAATTATTTTAAATTACCATACCAGATGGAATTCATCAATTAGTCTAAACTAAAACAGGTGTAGGAGTTACACAATATTTTTTCATTGGGAATTTGTCTCTATCTTATGGTATTTGTAAGAATTTATTTAGAGATTTATTTTGAATTAAAATAGTAAATGTGAAAACAGTAAAAAATCCTCTGACAAGCCCAGGTTCTGTTTTTGACTTCTGAACTTTTTCAACCTTAAGTCAGTCTTCTCAGTCAATCCGTCTTACACACACACAGCTAAAGGGACCAAGTACAGTTCTGTGCATCTTTACCTATTAAAATACTTTATTACAATATGAAATTATCCTTCTACAACAATTTTCTGTCATTTTTGAAATGTATCTTTAGGTGGTTGTTGGAGGAATCAACTTCAACTTGACTTCATTTTTTCTGGGTAGTTCTTGACATTTTCAACTGCTATTTAATTTTTGGTAAGTTTTGGGGAAAGTTTCTGTAAAAAGGAATTGATGAAATGGTCACCCTTTCAAGGGTCTTCAGAACCTATTGTCAAATTACAAATGTCCAGATACAACTTTCCGTACCTCAGTTTCAAAATTTAAATAATTGAAATTTGCTAATATTTTGCAAAGCTTTAAGTATGTCATAAAGAGACTTAAAAATTATTAAACTATTGAAAAGTAGTTGACAAGTTAATTAATACCACACCTTAAGTCACTTGTTTTTCAACTAAGTATAATTTAACATTTTTCCAAATTTTGTATTCCTAAACAGTAATACTTCCTTAAATTTATAGATATGATTAGAATACATGGATAGTATTTCTCATTATCATTCAAGTTCAAAATGTTTCTAAATGTTGTGCATGTAATTTTTATAAGATATTTAACATACATATGGAAATTAAAACATTTCAATATACAAGTCTACGTAGGCCCTTCCAACATTTTCATAGGGCCACGGCTCATGTCCCCCACCCCCAAGAAACAGCCATTAAAGCATTTCTGAAAACTTGCAATTATGAGCCCATTTTCACAGAAAACTTGAGTTTCTACAACGCATAGTAAGAAATCAATTGAACATTTGTGTAATTTTTGAAAAATGAAAAGAATCCTTTGAACAGTTTAAATGGTTGTGGTGTTCACAGATGAACGAACAGATGTTTTGCAAAAAACCACTTTCAGTATCAGGGGCCCCCAAAACAAGTATTTCCATTAAAATCTCGAAATCTATTTTCCATGGCATTACAACTTTATACAATGCAAATTACTCTGCATATGAGACAGAAATTTGATTAATTTGTTAACTTGCATTACAAAGTTATATTTACAGCAAATGCATGTGAGGATTTAACTTCTTTTAGTTAAAGTTAACTTGATATCATTGATGAATATCATTAATTCAGACACAATCTCTTTATCTAAAAGATACTATCAAAAAACAAAAGAACTCCAAACAAAAATACCAGGCCAAGAGAGGGAAGCATCTAAAAGCACCCAAGATATAAACTATTAAAAATTAAAGCCAATATTGGTAAGGAAAGGTAAATAAATGAGAAGCTAGACCAACTTACATGATCTTTGAATAACAAAAAGAATTTATTGGAATAGGTAAGAAAACTGTCTGAACAGTTTGTAGCACATTCTTGAAAACAAAATATAATAATTACTGTTAGAATTATTAATATAGAAATGCATTTTGCAAAGTAACATCTGTGAGAGTGGGAGCATTTGTCTAAGACTGAAACAATTTTGTCTCAAAAGAGAAATTTACATTTAATTTGTAGTCATTCACAGACTAGGAATAAGATTGCCATTATTGCCTTTCATTTCTTTTTGAACAGTTTCACACAGGCAATGTTAGCACAAACTTTAGAGGAAGAAAGTTAAAAAGAAGGAGTAGGATTCATGCTGTTCAATAATACGAAATTTCATACAAAATTTAAGCTCAATGTGTTCTAATATTTTAGTAATAATTCTCTTTATGTCCAAGGGAGAAGTAGCAAAATACTACGTTAAAAATTATTGACGTATTCTGAAGTTAAAGACTATCATGGAAGTTCATATTCTCTTCTTTAATGTACACTTAAAATAAAATATTTGCCTCCTTTAATTTAGTATTTAACTTTTTATCACATAATGTGCAGTAATTGAATCACAGCCACTGCAGTAGAAGAAAAAACTGATTAAAACATTTTCTTTACGATGTTTAAACTAGTTTTTTCTTTAACTAAGTGTACTGAATGGTTATCTTAATGTCCACAAACATTAATATGAATTACAAGGAAAGTAAGAAGCAAAACTGGCAAAAATTAAATTTCTTAAAACTAGAATTTTTTGACAACTGATAAAATTATGATCAAATGGTTCTCATTGATGGACTAGAGTGAGTTTCCATATATCATTTAGTTAAATTTAACCATAAATTAATGTTTATAACAAAATTTAAATACTCTTCTTTTTTAAATTTCTTGTAACAACTGGACACAAAAACCCTACATAGGTTTTATAAATTAAAAAGTTTAACAACTTGAGATTTTGTATCATGTGGTGATGTAACTTTGTGACCAATTGTTCTTGGGTCATTAAATATTTCATGGTCGTTTCCTCCGGCATCTGTTTTGTCTCCAAAAAAATGGATTTCCTGAAAATTGTCCTTCTCCAGGTACTGTAAACAGTATGTTTTATCCCAGCCATTGGGAAATACATCAATACTAATTTGCCCTCCTGGAAATAAATTATATGTAATTATTAGTACATTCACTGTTTTCTTTCACTGGTGACTGCTAAAAAAAGAAGATTAAACAAGATTTTTTACACAGAGTATTTATTGAAGAATAAATACTGAAAATGCAGAATAACTAGAACATCCTCAAATTTTGTGTTCACTTATTAATAAGGAAATTCTGTAATATGGATTTTATAAATGTTGCTTTAAACATTTGTAAGAACTGTTTTAGAGCTTTTCAAATGTTATTTCTTCTAATAATTCATGAAAGTAACTAATGAAACACAGCGTTTCAATTTGAAACAAAAAATGGCTCATTTAAAAATGCCTAAACCCAAAGATCCTTAATGTCTCATAAGTGGTGCTGCAACAGCTCATATATCATTGGTAATGATTATGTAATATTATAATATTGAAACTTCTATCAAACTAGCAGCTATGATTTGAAAAATTAACTACACAAAACACATGAGGTTTGTAAATCATTACAAATCTTTAAATTTTTGAAAATTCAAAAGTTGAAATGAAAATTGCATTCCGATGTTAAAATTCTGTGATTGTGACATTCAGTTCTGCTCTTTTCTTACAGAAATAGAAGCATATATTCTGAAAGAAAGAAAATATTATAAAAAAGAAAACAAAAATATTTGCCCATCTTGGGATATGAACTCACGTGTTAAGGATTTGTTAGGTATGAGGTGTTCCCAATGCTACTGAATTGTCTGTCAGAAGCAGTCCATTTAAATAGCTATGATTAATTAAGGTTGCAGTGACTAACACAAATTTTTACACAGAAAAAATGTGAAAATCACTATTTCAAAAAAGCAAACATGGAATAATTTAAAGATCTAAATTGAAGTACAGATTCCATCCAAGAAAGAAATCTCTGTGCTAATGCTGTTTAAGATAGGTGTTAAAAAGCATGTTACACAATTTCTCTTGAAAGGTAGCGTGATAAATGTTCAAATCTCAATGCACTTATTACACAAACTTAATTTATTTCATCTTAAAACTTTAATATGTTTATTATTCAAACCTGATATGACTGACAACCTGAAATATGACATTTATTTCTTCAAACCTGTTTGGGATATATTGGATTTATACTTTTGAATTAGAAATTATTGAGGGGGAGTAGAAAATAAATCAATAAATGTCACAATTATGATATTATCTGGTAAGAATTAAAACAGGAGAAAACCTCAGATTCCTGATCCTAATGATGATGCACTCAGAAAATAAATATTCTCAATTACATTTTTGTCCACAGACTACTATTATGATGAAAACATTAACTATAACTATTATTTTTGTAATTGATCATACCTTTGCTTTTATCAAGATCTGTGATTGTTTAACCTGCAGTAAAACAACACACTAGTAGTAGGTAGGTAGTGCAATAGTGATCGTACATGTATAAGTGTGCAGTGGAAAAGCAAAACGTTTAGGTACTAGAGTGCAAACAAGATACTATATTTAATTGAGCAATCAAAAAGAGAGAACATTTTGAACATCAAGTCGATTAAAATTCTCAGATGTAGTTTCTTAGAATGTTTCCTAACAATGAAATAAATAAGTTTTTATTAAAAGAAAAGTTCAACCCCAAAAACATGTAGATTATTCTGGAGTTTTATTTCACATTACTTGTTGAGTAGGGGAGGAAAAAAGACAAAAGGTGTAATTTCAATATCACTAATATATATGAAAAATTACAACTTACCAAGAGCAAAAGAAAGTCCATAATGTGAAAAATTTTTTTTCATGTCAGCAACAAATGTTTCTCGAATTTTGTGTTCTCTGTCATATTCTGTGAATGTTACTCTTTCATCCTGACTACAGCTTCTTCCAACTGGACAAATATTCAACATGCCCTTTCTAAATTCCACAAATGTACCTCTTTTAACAGGAAGAGTCAATTTTGATAAGTATCCGAGGCAATAATTGATGAAGGTTTGTAGTTTCTCCTCTCCAATGAAGGCTTGTATACTCTAAAAATATTACATAAAATACTTCAAAATGTGTTGCATACACCTGCCTTTCACATAAATAAAAGTTAAATGAATATGTCAATCTTCATGGTTTCACTAGTACAAACAATTGTAATTCAAATTTTCCAAGATTGAACACACCACTCAAATGTCTCGAAAGATATTTTTTTTATTTTTTATTATACTTCCAAATTAAGGAATCACTAGAAAATAATTAATTTTTGTTTTTTAACTGCCACTGATCTTTGGTCATTAAAGTGGCAAAACCTGTTTTCAGCTATGATATTTTTGTTTAATTGATATTTTGATATTTTTAAAAGCTGGCAATGGAAATGTGCCCCATTTCTTTTAACTGAAGTAGGAACTGAACTGACCTTAGTGGAAAAAAAAAAAAAAAAAACTAAACAAAACAACAGATAACAAAAAATAAAAGAAGATATTACAGTAAAACCTTTCTAAGATAGAACCTGACAGTTCCTTGCAAAATTTCCAATTCAGTCGGTTTCTGTCTCATTGAGGATTACCAAAAATTCACCATATAACTTCAGTACAGAATTTTTGACATAATTCTCTTACTGAAACAAATTAAAGCATAATTTATTAATGAAAGTATTGCAGAAAAAAAATTGAACTGCGCAACACAGGGAAAATATAGTTTGTTTAAATAATTTATTTTGTAGTGGATAAATTTTGCACTTCGCTGTAAGAACATTTTGACATATTAGCACACAGCTTTTCTACACTACACAGCAAGCGTTTACTAAATTGTGTACTTTGCTACACTAAGAAGACACAACAAGATTTTCTGCAATTCCTTGGCGACTTAAGGTAACATGGTGAGACTTTTGAGAATTTGATTGGGTGCGGATGAACAACATTTAAAATAAAAATTTGAATTATTAAAATTACAAAAAATATTTTATTAACTTTCTGGAAAAGAGTTAAAAATTTGTATGACACAACTATTGTCTTTCAAATACTAGTTTTAATAAATTCAACATGAAATCTATTCATGAAAAAATTGAACTTAGCAATAAAATCAGTAGTTCTAATGTTATGTCACAGAGCAGGGCATTTCTCTTTCTAAAATCCAAAAATTTTTCATTTTTTCTTTTGTTCTTCATAATATTAAATCGATAAGTACATGACCAAATGTCTATGTTTGTGTTGGCCAACCTTAAAGTATAACTTTAAAATGTTTATTTTTTTTTGTTAGCCATTGTTAAGCAGTTTGGACATATTACCATCACAACAACTACAATTTATAAACAATTATTAATTATTTTCAAACTCAAAATATCAGAGACAGCATCCTGCACATAATGTTGTCAGTCTGCAAAAATTTATGGAATGAATGAATTGCTCCATTCTTACAGTACAGAACGGCACAAATCATATCACATTGGCTGAAGTAAAATACAACAAGTAGTGTTATGCATGCTTGTTTTACCCAGTTTAACCTGTATGGAAAAAATATTGCAGATTGTTTCTCCTTTTTACAGACTGTACGATTCTCTCAGAGTTGTTAGGGCAAGTTTCATTTTAATCCTCACTACTACTAGTAGTATGATTTTTTTCTTGATACTACAGCAAACTGAATATCAGCAAATAGAGAGCACAGATTATGGGAAATAGAAGACTTATTAACTTATTTTCATTATTTATGACCTAGAATTGCCATGCAACAAATTATTGTTTTCTCAACATTCACCAAGTTAAAATCTGTGTTAGCTGGTAATTTTCAAAAATCCCCCTTCTGTCTCAAAGGTGATGTCATTTTTAGAGTGATACAAGAAATGTAATATTTGTATTTAAGAGGCTATGTTTTAAAGGATTTGACATTGTTGATCACAATCAGGAAGCTATTTGTCTTTAGCATTCCAAAAGATTTCTTTACAAGTATTTATTAGCTCAAAAGCAAGGGTAGCACAAGGGACATACTATTAGAAGCTAACATATTCACAAAACATGAAATTATTACAATGTAAATTCTTCATATTAAGAGTTGGTATAACTTGCCAGACATTTTGGAGTTTATAACTCGTGTAATATTTTAGAGGAGTACAGAACACTTAACAGCAGCATCAACAATGACAAAATTGAAGAACAAACCATAAAATATCTGAAATATAATGTAGCAGATTATTAGTGAATTTTATATTTTGTAATATACTTTACCTGTTCACCAATTTGCTCTCCATTTTTAAATGCCACCAGACCATTTTCAGCAAATACATAGTCATATTGTTTCCACACTAAAAAAGTTCAAACTATCATTAAAAACAAATATTATGAAGAGTTTTGACTCAGTTCTATGTAGCGATTATAAGTAAGATATTTTTGAATGCCACTTGAAATGGAATGAGATAAAAATACTTAATAATATAAACTATTGCAAAAGTGTTTTAGCTTTACTGAATGTATCTCACCATCTCCTCCTCCCATTTGGTGTGTAATCTTCTTCATATCAGAGCCTCCAACCAGACCAATAGTGGTTTTAGGTTTCAAAGTTGACAATAGAAAATTTTTTATTTCCGTATCTATTACCTGCATAATAATAAAATTAACTACAATCAAAAGTTATGATAATTATTCCCAGCTAAGAATCTTAAATGCTTACCTGCACCGGTCGGGTGAGTGTCCCATCAACATCGAAAAGGCAAATAACTTTGTTGCGAGAATCCATCGCACTTGCACTGTACATTAAAAGATGCATTAGGGATACAATAATGAAAAGAAAAATAATTAAGGCACAACATATTTCAAAGACTGAAATATAGATTAGAAACAAGCATACAATATGATGAATCTCAGGATGATTATTTGTATTTTTCTATTTTTTCAAGGGTATACGAATTTAATTTTCAAGAACCCAAGTTCATACACAGTCAAGACGTGCGAGATAACTTAATGACATTCTTTGCTTATTTACCAATTTGAAATTCTTGTGGGAAAATCCGACTTCAACCTCACCGCTCTCAAGGCGTGGAAACTGATGCAACTTGCACTGACCAGTCTCTGCGTGGCATTAATCCACGTCACTCTGCTAAGCCTAGCGATTTGCATACCGTGTGTGCGTCATTCCTTCATGAAAGAAAAACATATTAATCGCATTTTGCATAAAAAAGAATCAGTGACTCCACGTTGAATGTACATCCCTTAAATGAAAACTGTGTCATTTTGGAAATTTCGTCTCGTTCGTTTATTCCTTGGGAAAGTGACTGCAATGTAAAACTGTGAGAGTGTTAAACTGTGATAGTGTCGTTTAGGCAGTATATTCAGATAAATATAAAGCCGAGGCATTATTTTAACTATATCAACATGAGCAAATTATATATGTTATGTTTCTTACTGTGTTTTAGCATGTATCATTGCAAGAGCAATTTTCAAAATGTTCTTTTGATGGTTGGTAGGTTCTTGTTTTGACAGATCTCAGTATCATTAAAATATTAGAAATACCAATAGTTTTGTTTCTTTAAATTTTTATTCCTGTGAAGTAAAGACGGCTGATTGAATCCATTTCATTGCTTTTTCAATTAGAGTTGATCGCGTATATCACACAAGCAATGTCGCGAGGTCAATCACCTGTATTTTTCACTCGCGGGCACTTGTCGTAAACCATCACTACCAGCATTGGTTGCCACACCTGTCCACAGCAAAGAGCGCGAGAAATAAATGGCATCACCTGTTATCCGCACGTGGATTACAATAATCGTTTAAAAATAAATGTGAATAATTTTTTAAAATTATATGGTGATATTTTTATTTAGAAGGATGGTTGAGGATGTATAACAGGCCCCACTAGCAAGAATCAAGAACATTTGAAGTATAAACTGCATAATATAATTTATAGAGCTTTGGTCCATTATAAGAGGAGAATTAATATTAAAAACGAAACTAAAATGTACTTCCATTTTGTAGCTGCGAATCTCAGACCATCTAAACATGTCTGCATTTGGAATACGAATACACATACACTGACAGACCAACATAGGCCACCTTCCTTTTCTCCTCCAGAAGTCCATTCTGCTTGACTGCGCAGCTCTTCTTTCAGCAGTCAATTCTCCTCTGTTCTTTTTCTTGATGAGCAATTGGAGTTCAAAAATTTTGTTTCTATATTCTTTTTGATTTAGATAGTCTTGTTTTCGGTAGTGTAAGTAAAGTTAAAAATCAATAATAATAAAAAAAAGAAATTCTTCATATATTCGTGCCTAGGCTGGGTCTGTCCTTTATATCCAACAATCAGTTTAGGGGGGTTTGAAAACAAGCAACAGAAAGTGCAAAAATTATTAGTACTAGTTTATATTGATGTAGATAGTTTTTATGTTGCACATATTCTTTAGTACTGAATGTGTGGTGTAACAGGAAAGCTTTCAATTTATTTTTGAAAGTGTGTAATGAGTTTAAGCTTTTAAATTCGCTAGGAAGTTTATTATATAGTGTAATACCTTCTATAACAGTACTTTTTTGAAAGAGAGATGTTTCACTGTGTGAAACATGCAGACTTTTTTTTTTTGTCTAGTACCATAGTTAAGAACTTCTGAGTTTAGAGTAACAGAATCCTTGTTTTCCACAAGTGTCTTCTTAGAAAGATTAATATTTCAAATATGTACATGCATGGGAGTGGTAGTATTTGTCATTTTATGAACAGTGGTTTGCAGGACGCAGGTTTGCCATTGTTCTCAATATTCATTTTTGGATGATGAAAGTGTGAATACTTGCTGGAGAATTTCCCCAGAATATTCTGTATTTTGAGTGAACATTTGCAAAGTACACCATTCGCAGTGTATCTAAGTTACAATTTGACTTCAGTATGTATATGGCAGAACATGACTTGGTAAGCTTGTTTAGATCTGTGATATGGGAGTTCCATTTTAGATAATCTTGAATAGTCAATCCAAGGAAAGTTGTTTCTAAGGCTATTTTTACAGGCACGTTTTTTTTTTTTAATCATAAATTGTGCTGGAGGCTTTTCTTTAGAGAGTGGATTCTGAAAGTTTAGGGAGACAATTTTACTGGTGTTTATGATGAGTTTATTTTCCTGGAACCATTTTACTAGTGCCTCTAAAATACGACCATTTTGCTCTTTTGTAGAGTCAGGGGCATATCATTGATGTATAATAGAAATAGTATGGGCCCTAGGATTGATCCTTGTGGCACTCCATAATTTATCATTCTAGGTTGGGAAAAATGGGTAGAAATCTTTATTTTTTAACATGCTTGATTGTGACTACTTGACAATTTTTTAGAGTCAGATTTAACCCATTGATGTGCAATGCGTTTGATAGATCTTAGAAATAAACCAAAGGGTTTCTTTCTGATCTAGAGCAAACATGTACGTCATTTAGAAGGTGAGATAGCTATGTTTGTAGATCTACCATTTCAGAATCTATGTTGGGCCTCTATCAATATGTTATTTGAATTAAGAAAATTTTTTGAGTCTATCATTAAAAAGCTTTTCTAGAATTTTTGAGAATCCAGATAGTAAGGATATTAGTCTGTAATTCATGAGATCGTGTTGCCTTTTTTGAATAGTGGTTTAACTTTTGCTTTTCTGAGAATTTCTGGGAATTTCCCTGTCTTGAGAGATTGTCAAGATCAAGTAGTGTAATTGGTGTCTCTCTCAAGTAATGTTTTAAATGTTTCTTTGCCATTTTAATTTCATTGTTTGTAATATTGTTGTTGTGCCAAGGGGGCAGAGTAGTCATGATGACATTAGTGTGAGTGGCAGTCTTTAGAATTGTTTGTAGATGTTCTTCTGGGTTAAATTTACTGCCATGATTTATGTTGTTCTGCCCACCTAAAATTACTACTGTGTCACGTTGTCCGAAGGAACTAGTAAGTGTGTGTAAGTTTTCAATTACGTGTGCCATTCTGTCACTTGGTTTGGAAACACCAGTATCAGAAAACTTTGAAGGGATTTTCTCTCTCATGGTGGAGAAAAGGTTCCTACCATGGCTATCTGCTAATGTAAGTACATAATGTGAATGAGAGAGTGTTTTTTGTTGGTGTTTTAGTCTTGTCCTGTTTATTGTGTTCTTGGGTTTTTGAGGGCAAACTAAGTGTGTCCCTTCTTTGTGCTGATCTCTGGGGAGAGTGGTAGGGCGTGAGTGGTAGGTGAGATGTGAGGATTGAATATGGTGGGCAATAGAGGAAAGGAGCTGGAATTGTTTAAGGTGGAAAACCTGTTGCTAGTGGGGAAGTGGTGAGAAGTGTGATTAATCACAGGCAGATGACTGGGAATGTGCGCATAATTAGGCCTACTCTTTCTCGTTATTTCCGTCCAGCCATCAGAGTAGTGTATGACCTTTTCCAGACTACTGATGTCTCTAGTGATGTAATGTATGTGTTCATAGACTTTCCTGAGGTCGACATGGAGTTTTGCAAGTGAGAGGATTGCCTGCTCTTTGTTGAAAAGTGGTGACAAGTATAGAATTGATTTACATGAGTAAAATTTGTTTACATGCACAATCAATCTCACACTAAATAAATAAACAGTTTCACTGAGTGTCACACGAACAGACACTATTATATGCTACATTAACACTATTGTACTAAAATTGATTACTATTTTTGCATCCTTATACTAAAACTGGAAGATCAACATACATTCTTCTAAACCTTGAATGCTTTGATCTTATAATGATTAATTAACGACAACTGAAAATATGTATTAGTGTAAGATCTTAATAGACTTAAGTCATTGATAAATTATATTATTCTTAATTTTTTTAATGAAAATATTTTACATTTTTTAAAATAATTATTAAAATTTCAATATCTTTTTTATTAGCTGATGATGGAGGATTTGAAATGGGAGCTTATCTCAATAAGATTTGTCAGGCTCCAAATTTAGATAAACTTGCAAAGAAAAGTCTTATTTTCAGTAATGCATTCACATCTGTGAGCAGCTGTTCTCCTAGGTATGTGACAAATTCCAAAAATTGTGTGTTTTAAAATAAATAAAACTATGTGAAATTTTAAAAAGTAAAATATTACTTCTTTAATTTTTCTGGATATTGATTAGAGATTCATAAAAATCTATTGTTTCAGTCGATCAGCCATACTTACTGGATTGCCAGCTCATCAAAATGGAATGTATGGTTTACATCAAGGAGTGCATCATTTCAATTCATTTGATAAGATTCACAGCCTCCCAAAACTTTTGCAAAAACATAACATAAGAACAGGCAAGTATTAACTAGGTAATTCTTGACTGTTGTATGATTAAAAGCTAAAAACATCTTGTTAATATCAATTTCACGATTCTCATGAGGGATGAGCTTAATTTTTCCGATATTTTTGTCAGTTAAATGAGTAAACATAATGTTCTTTTTCCATTATGAAAAGGAATTATCGGGAAGAAACATGTTGGACCAAAGCAAGTCTATTCTTTCGATTTTGAAGAGACCGAAGAGAATAATTCCATTCTACAAGTAGGAAGAAATATTACCAAAATCAAACTTCTTGTTCGGAAATTTTTACAGCAGAACCAATCACAGTACGACTATAACAAAACTGTTTTTTGAAGATAATAGAATAACTCCCATTATCTTGAAAAATAATTATTTCCTCTGTTTAGGCCCTTTTTTTTGTATGTTGGATTCCATGATCCACACCGTTGTGGTCATACACATCCAGAATATGGAAATTTTTGTGAAAAATTTGGAAATGGAGAGCCTGGAATGGGTCTGATTCCAGACTGGGAACCAATATATTACCAACCTGATCAACTTAAAGTCCCATATTTTGTTCAGGACACTGTTGCTGCCCATGAAGATATTGCTGCTCAGTACACAACTATATCACGTCTAGATCAAGGTCAGAAATTTCGTTGCTACTAAATACAAAAATAGTATGTTCCAAAAAGTGTTTTTTACACAACACACACAGGGCCAAAACATTTTTTATCTCTGTAATAATTCCAGATAATGTCCTTCAAAGTAATTTTAATTGTATTTGAAGCATATATTTGTATTATACAGGTGTGGGATTAGTGCTTAAGGAATTAGAAAATGCTGGAGTTCTAGAAAACACATTGGTGATGTACACTTCAGACAATGGCATTCCATTTCCAAGTGGACGAACAAACTTCTATGATCCAGGTAACATTCCTGTTAAGCAATGAACTGCATATCAACATTTCAGTATTGCAGAAAAACATAAAATCAAAATGACATACATCTTCATCTACACCCACAGGAATGGCAGAACCATTTCTTTTATCATCTCCACGAAAAGATGACCGCCACAATGAAGTGACTTATAGTATGACTAGTCTCTTAGACATAGTACCTACTGTATTGGATTGGTTTAATGTGTCATATCCGGAGGGTTCTGAATTGACAGGAATATCATTATTACCTCTTCTCAAACAGGGTACGATTACCTTTCTCTTGGGATTTTCCTAATTCTAATAGAATGAAACTGAATTTTAAAGATGACTTTACTTAATAGAACCTAAAGAAGATAAGAGAGCTGTGTTTGGAAGTCATAACCACCATGAAGTTACTATGTACTACCCAATGCGAGTAATAAGAACAAAGAGATATAAACTTATTCATAACATGAATTACAAAATGCCATTTCCAATTGATCAAGATTTTTATTTGTCCCTGTCTTTCCAGGTTTGTATATTTGGTCCTATTTAAAGTCAAATTTTCTTAGGTGTAAATATGCAGTACCCACTTAGGCAAGACAAAACTAGCAGCCATGAGAGTTTCTAGGCCGGTAGGCCATGAGCCAGCAAGCCGCTGTCCAGACATCAGTGAGCCGCCACCCCAGATACGGAGTCCGAGACCCTGCTGCCACTGAAGGAGTCCACCATAGTCGTGGATGAAACATTTGGCTCTGTAGTGCCAACTGGACCATGGCCTACCAGTCCGGAAACTCTCTGTTATTGACTTTGGCTATGATGCCATATAATACAATAATAGTTTACAATGCCATATAATAACAATAATAGTTTGAGAAAAGAAAAGCAAACTTTGATATTTTGAAAAATCTTGTTCATAATGTAGATAATTATAAATGCTTGTTAATATTAATAGTTTCCTTCTTACAATCAAATGATCATATGCATCATTGTAGGATTTATTGAATCGAACACAATCTAAGCAACCACTTTTCTGGTATAAAACTCTTCAAGATTATTACTACAGAAGTGAATGGGAATTATATGATTTGAAATATGATCCCAATGAATCAAGGAATTTAGCAGAAAAATCGTCCTACAAGGTATGTATAATTAATTGCACATTAATCAATTAGTTTCAATAGACAGCCAGTAAAAGATTATTTTATTTCAACAAGAAAGTAAATTTTTTCTTTGTTGTAACCTGGACTTAAAACATTAACAGGGGGAACGTGTTAAGGTGTAAAGTTTATTTGTTTCTGTTTACTAAATTACAAAACCAATTGCAATGAAAAACAATCTGAAACAGTCTTTAGAGTATAGGAAATATTGAAGTAAATTATTAATTTTCAATTATCTTAAAGTACAGACGTTATAGGAGTACGTTTTTGTAAGAGGCAGCCAGATGAGAACAAAATAAACCACGACTTAAATGCCCAGACCCTCGGTACACTCAATGCACATATGCAGCCTCTCTGGAGACTGAATACATGGAATGTGGATGCTAGACACTCAACCACACAGTTGTGACATGTGAACACATCTACAAGTCCTTGTTTCTATGCTTAATTGAAACAATAATTTTCTTTTGTTTTAAATGAAATTAAAATATCATAATAAAACATGTAAATGTGTGAGCACAATTGTTATTTTAAACATTAACCCCCTGTTTCTAAGTGTTTGCAAGTAGATACTTTGTTAATTGAAATGAAAATCTCTACATTGTTTGAAACATTTTGTAGAGAAGATGAGCATGAGTAACTGTTTTTCATGTGTCTCCTTTTATAATTATTAATTTAATAACATACAAAGATCTCTTGGATTCTTTTTAAATCCTGTTTTATTTTGTTACTTAAAATGGAATGGAAACTGCAAAGTTTTGTATAATTTTAAAGGGAGAAAATTGCTAGTCAGTAGCTTATATTAATGTTTCTTTCAGGCTGTGCTTACTGACCTTAAACAACAACTCACACAATGGCAAGTTAAAACTTTAGATCCATGGATTTGTTCCCCTCATGGAGTTTTAGAGAATCAGGGTCTCTTCAAGGATCATCCTTCATGTTTGCCTCTTCACAATGAACTTTAAAGCTGTTACAGAATAGAAAGAGCAGCTTTAGAATTTTGTAATCGAAGATGTGCATACAATGCCCAATTGCACTCAAACTGGTGAATGGTTACACAGGAAGACAATCGATGTCTAGTATTATTTTGTCTCGCTATTCTTTAAATTAATATGTATTTTCCTAACGAAAACAGAGGTATTGTTGGGGTTTTATTTTTATTAAATTGAAAATAAATATATTTTAAATTATATGTATAGATTTACAGTATTCAAGAATTGCATTTGTATCTGATGTACATTGATGTTATTTTAGGCAGGCACTAACAAATATTTTACTACATAAATAAAAGAGAAGTTATTTTTCATGGCCTACTCATTTCTGTAATATAACGGATTCAGTATCTAATGTAGTTAAAAATCAAGCGTGAATTCAACTTTTTCAGCCCATAAATCATGATTTTCACTTTTTTTGTTAATCTTCATGCTCATGATTCTGAAGTTTATAAAGCAGCACACTACATTAAGTTAAAAGATCTTCTATCACTGTTCCTAATAGATTATATAAGCTTCCATTTAAACCAGAGTGCAAACAATATTTAAATGAAGTTTAACAATAAACTTTCCAAAAACAATATAGCAACTATAGATCTGCTTAAGAACGTTTCATAAACAACTTGAGAAACAGCAAGATTTCCTTCAATTTTTCTTTCTTTCAAGGTTACCTTAATAATCTACCTTATAATGCTACATACTGCTGTAACTTCAAATGAAATACCAGCTATGTTTAACTGATCTTCTATAATAATTTGAAGACAATGGGAAAAGAAAAATTTTGTAAATTACAAGTGCAACAGCAGCTAAAATGCTGTAACCATAGATAGATTTGTGAGAGAACTGTCTTGTTGACTGAACAAGTTGCAAGTATCTGGAATGTTGGAAGGAACTTTCTACATGCAATTCTGTAGTAATTTCAGACACATTTAACTAACAAGACTATTCAGTTCAAGATGTTTTCAGTGATACGAGATTTGGATAAACAAGTACATAATGAATTTAATACATATTCAAGTACAGCTACTAGAAACAATTTGCATAATAAATGGATTGCTATGTACATATAACAGAGTAAGAATTTAGTAAACATGTTCTATCCAGTTCAGATAAACAAGTCTGTTACATTAATTTTCTAATGAAATACACACACTGCCACTCAATAGCTTTCATTTAATTTATTATACTTGTAAGTACATTTGCTAGATTACATAGTATTAGGCATATTTAAAAAAATTATAGCTTTAAACTTTACAAAAATAACATCTTTAATACTCTACTTAAAGTACTCTTTGAAGGTTTTAGAATTAGAAATTCATACTCATGACTAGTACTGGCTTCATATGCAATACAAAACAGAAAAATCACTTGGACAACATTCTAAATGGAATTAGGCAAGCTCCACTAAGATGCTTCTCTAAACACCTCAAATTATTTCAACTTCTTGAAGAAAAAACAACACAAAGAAAATTTACAAAACTAAAAATTCTCTTTTATAGTATACATAAAGTAACTCAACAAAATCTAGATTCTTAAACGGGAATGATTTCTAGATAACTACATCACTTCAGTGAATTGAAACAATATATTTCAGTCCCTGAGGCAAATAAAGGTAATGCAGGAAAGCAGAAAACTAAATGCATAATCTAGACATACAATAAAATAACAATTACTAACATACTAAATAAGAAAATTAATACATTCTCTACAGTATTATCAATAAAAATATCTTCATGTGTGTATTGATAAAATTATTTCTAATTATATTTCAATAACTTTAAATTCTTCTGTAGACCTATTTGATTGGATGGACTAAAATATAAAAGTAAAAAGGAAAAAAGCACCATTTTAACACAGTATTATTTTCAAAACTAGAAGTTCCTTATATTTGTGGACATACAATAGACACTTTAGGCACTCGTGAATCACAATTCAAGGAAACAGAAGTAGAAATAGTTTTTACCAAATTGTATTCATGTACTGTTTTTATCAAAAAAAAAACCACTAAACATTTACACTAAACTAGATAATTGTAGGAACAAATAATTATTCATGTTGCAACACCTCTACTCGATTAGGTAAAAAAAAACAAAAACAACAACCAACCAACAAAACACACCATCTTTTACAACACTTTTGTCTATCCAAAATACTGTTGCAACATCAGTCAGCAGTTCAGAAGAAACATGTGATCATTATGATCTCATCACATTATATAATTAATCTATTTTCAATTCATAAAATCTGTGTAAAACATTACTTCCCAAACAAAATATTCTGTTCCTTATATTACAACCTGCATTTCAATGAACTATTTCTACTTGTTTCACTTGCTGCATTGTTATCAGTCTGAAATAACTTCAGTTCAATTTGGTTTCGTTATAAACATATTCAACATTTTCATTCAAAACACACACTATTCTTCTTAATCATTGGTGTGACAATAAAGTTTAGAGATTATTTGTCATTAGTATTACAGGGCAATATTTGCAGCACTTTCAGATCATTTATGTAACATAATTTCATTAGTATGCAATGGATAAATAACAAACTAAACAATACTTAACTCTATCTTTAAATTCTAGCTAATAACTAGGGAGCGGATTTTGAAGCCCTAAAATATATCCCAAAATGATCAATAAAATGCTTTCAAAATGCAAAGAAAAATGATGTAAAACAATTGATCAAAACCACTTCAAATGAACAACTCAAATTGTTGGGTATGTTACTGATGTAATCGCTTCTTCCTTTTGTTCTTGTGAACTTAGCTTGCAGACTTGGTTTGGACTGTTATTTAAAAGAAAATCTCTGCCTCTATTTATCGGGACTGACAATGGCGCTGATAGACATCACAGGAACCTTACATTAAACAGTACTCACAACGGCCAACATTACAATATATGAGCAAAGAAATCAAATAGGCTACTCAGGAATTCTGTGGTGAACATTTGTTGCATCTTGTAAATACAGTTTTAAGCAAGTACTATTAAAACCTGTGAAATCAGCGGAAAATGCATTAAAAATGACTTATTAGTCGAAATCCATGAAAAATACAAAAGACATAAAAATGAGTCATTTGTTTTGTTGTAATCTAAAACGAATTTCTATACTAAATGTCATTGTTTTAAAGGAAAAAAAAAAGAGACATTTCATTAAAATCCGCCCCCTTCTAATAACCACTTCTTCAGATCTTTTTTTCTGGCCTTATTGCTTTCCATGCAATAATCCAGGCAAGTGACAAGTTTAGCTGGTCAGAAGCACAGAAATTTCGTTACAGTGGCTCAAGTATTCTCCAAAACACAATGGCAAATAATACCTATAAATAAATTGGTTTATCACGGAAGGGATGGAAAGCTTCCTTTCACAATTGATTATGATATTTTCACTATGATTTTCTATAGTAAAGTGATATACACATTGCAAAGCAGATCAAAGATAAAGTGTTTTGAAGCAGAAGTTTGCATCATGCAGATTATGAATGAGCAGAGCAGCATGAATTAAAGTTTGAATTTTGTAAGTTGAAGGCAAGAGTGGAATATTTTGAATCATGCCAGTGATGCATGTACATCACATTAGCAAACATAGATTTGTCAAAGCCCACTGTTTGAAAAGCATATTTGTGTTGGTTTCTATTTCAGTACACACTTTATCATTAAACAGGTTTTCCAAAACACTTTTTAATAAGAGTGTCGATATTTCTAGACACATCTAGTTACATTATTACATTTATCAAATGTAACTCACAAATAGTCATTTTAAGTTAATAAGACTAAAATTGTAGCATTTAGCCTTTTTTAAATAAAACTGTTGACCTTAATAAAAGAATACATTGGGATTAAATTTCCATGAAATATTTAGCTTGTGATACTTTGAAGAAAGCCCCTTTAGGGATTATGAAAGAACTTAAATGGACTGTATTATATACACATATACACACACACATAAAATGTAACCTATGGCATAACAATAGTGGTAGAACTTCTAACGAACTTTCTATTCTACCAAAACACTTCCTAGAAAACAAAATAAATTTGTCTAATTTAGTAGACAGTGAAATTTATTTCTATAAGACAGTTCTGCACATACTCATTTGACAAAAGATTACTCTGAAGAAGCATTAACAATCACCAATGACAAAATTAGAAAATTTGAATTTGCTGTGAGAAAGACATTTGAATTTTATGAATAATTAGTTTCTGACCTTAGATCTTCAAGGTAATGATAAGTAATTTGCAGTAAAGCTGAAGATTCACAAATTAAGTTGCACATGATAAAAATTAAGTTTTTGAGATTGTATGAGCTTTAGGACAATATTGAAAAGTTTGAATGGAAGATTTATAATGGCTTGATTCTAAAAGATGACAGCAAATTATCTGATACTAACCCTTGAGTGAATGGAGTAGTATGTTTATTTACTTAACAAATTATAGGCAATACTAATGGATCAAATTAGAAACATTTGCAGTAGTATTGTGCATTTTCATTGTAATGAAACTGATAGTACCAACAATAGATGGAAAGGCTTTTATTTATTGTGAAAATTTTAGAATGCTATCAATTATAAAGAACTCCTGTTAATTACAAGTGATTGTATTGTTTGCAGCTCTTTTAAAACAATAACTTGTGAAGTACCAAGGGAAAAGATAATTAATTCTTCCATTTTGTAGCTAAACTCATTTCTTTTACAAAAAGTACACAATTCTTTTCTATCTTTGATTTTTGAGCAGGTCTAACAAATTATGCAGACTTAAGATATACTTAAAAAACCAGAAGGAAAGAACGCCCCAAAAAGAGGAGAATATCTCATTTTGTGACGTGACACACAATACTCTGGCCCACTTGACCCTGATTTTTGCCAAATAAAAATTAGTGGACATTATTGGAATTCTCAAAATTTTAAAAAACTCATAGGAAGGTTCAGTTACACATCAGAACTTCTAATTATTATAAAACTTTAATTAATTACTTGATTCTCAAGCATACCAAAAATCTCAAAATTATTGTATTAGTGTAATACACCAAATCTCTTCCTTACTCCCTAGCCATGATGACACCACAATTGTTAATATACTTGTTGCAGAAACAGCAAAGGTTTTTATAAACGAAAGAATTACTAGGACCCTACACAACTAAGTAAATTGATACAAAAAAATTTAATAGTTCTGAAAATTATCATAACATTCATAACAGATTGTTGTAAATTATATGATTAGTATTACATCAAATCACTGCATATGCCAAATGATGAAAAATAAAATTTAGAAAAATATCACTAACTGGAGGTAATAAAATTTAAACATATTTTAAGTTGTAT